GTATGATGCAAAGCAGAGAAAAAGAAAGATTAGAAGCATCTCTCCATGTTTTGTATCCTGCTGGTTTTACTAGGTAGTGTTGCAAAAGCAATAGATGATTAATTAGGCTAACTGGATAGGCAGAAGTTAAGATGAATTATTGTCCATGAAGAACACACATTAACATGTCTGAGATTGCAGTGCTCTAGCCCTGTATCAGATGGCCATTTCTCTGCAATGCCTAGGATCACTTTCTTCATTCATTTTCAAAGAGTTACACACACTGTGTTATTGAAAAGCTGTTATGGTTCTGGATGAGGCTTTTCTTGCCAGCTATCGCATGTCTAAGCTCAATGGCTTGCAAATGTAGGGCTTAGGCCCCAGTACAGAGGCAGTATGAGTATGCTGCAGCAAAATAGTTAACAGCCACTTCTCTGAAAGAGGGAAAGCCCCACTCTGGAGAGAAAATGAGCACACTGTTCAGTTTCTACAAGCTGATTCCATTAGTTATTACCTTCACCCCTTTCAAGTGACCCTTATCCTTGTAAAGTGGTCTCCTTGTGCAGACCCCATACGTGTACCCAGGATTGGAGCAGATGTTCTGTTGCTCAGCATGCCTCTACTTCCCAGGGTGTTTCTCAGGTGAAGGGTACCTGGATGCAGAGCCCGGGCTGTGGACCACAGGTTTGAAATAGATCTTTCTTGGAGAGGCTGTGAAAACAAGTGTATCCCCTCTTCTCATGTGAGACTTGTCTCCTACCAAGCCACATTCCTGTGGCTACCTCACCCACCATATCGTCTCGCATCTCAGAAGCCTACCCACCCATAACAGCTTGTCCAGCACTGTGCTCCTGTCACAGCATGCTCAGAGATGTCAGGGCTCTCAGAATCAAGTCAAACTGGCACCTGCTTTTTCAGTAGGTGTCCCCATCTCACCTGATGCCCAAACCTGCAGAGAAGCTCTTCCAAAACCTGTCAATTATCCTAACAAACAAGATATGGCCCAGAGGAGGCCAGACTTACCTTGACCACCCCAAGAATGCAACAACGTGTCTCTTCCCTGGTACAAACCTGCTCAAATTTCCTTTCTTTTCCCTTCTACGCTCCTCATTTACCATGCTGAAGGGACAGATCCACTGTGTTATTCTGCCAGAAGTGATCATCATTACGCTCATGTCATCAACTTTCTCTTCACCCCATTTTAATGGGGATAATCAGCAGGAAAGTGCCTTTTTTTTTGGTGGTATTCAAAATTAGTCAATTGTCAGCTCTCACAAATTGTTTGCTCTCCCAATTCACTGCAAATAATATGGACATTCCTGTCATCCACGTCAAGAGTCAAGGGCACAAAAGACCAAGAACTCTTCAAGGGAAATAATACAGATGCAGTAACTTGATCAGCTTCCAGACCAGTTTTGCAGAACATCCTACAGCCACTAAACCTCTGTCTGAAAAGAGACTGCTATAAGACACAAAATGAGCCCAAAAGACAAGACCAAACAGCTAGTGGGGGAGAGGGGAGCAGGCAGTGATGCTTTTCCGTCCTATCTTGCATATGAAGAGGGATGAGAGAAATCACAATGATTGTTGTCATAAGGCAACAAGGCAAAGAACCACCTGATCCTGCCCAGTGGAAGATGGACAAAGTCACATTACATGGTAACCCCAAGAGCGTGAATCACTGAAAAACTAACATTATCCAACTTTGCTTGCATTTTATCGATGGGGGGTAAAGGCAGAGTCTGGCATTGGGGTTTTCCACCAAAACATACAGTCATCTCCCAAGTTTTCAGTCTCTCTCTCATTCCTCCCCCTGTTCCTCTACTGGTGGCACTTAGAAGTGAGAGCAACAAAATCTTAGAGTATCGTGAGTTGGCAGGGACCCACAAGGATTATCGAGTCCAATTCCTGGCTACACGCAAGACTACCTAAAATCAAACCACCTGGCTGAGAACACTGCTTGAACTCAGGCAGGCTTAGTGCTGTGACCATTGCCCTGGGGAGCCTGTTCCACTTCTGTGGATATGAGGGTCTTCTCACTTTTAATTTGCCTGTGGGGACAAAAACAGACTGATGGAGGGAAAGCATATTGTGGAAGAAATTACTTTTTCCACCAAGGACTGGAAACAGGCCTGTGGTCAGAGAGGAAGGAGAATTAAATGTGTCTCCTGACCTCCATGACCCTTCACCATCACTGCTGTCATGGAAAGGAGCAATCAGGAAAAAGGTCACGAATAAGGGTGGCTGCTGCCCTCGTAGGAGCAGAGGACAAAGTCCTCCGTGAAAGTGTGTGGTACCAAAGCCTCACAACAGCAGCCTTGCTGTGGGGAATGAAGAGCAACAACACCCACCTAACAGACATTTAAGATCCAGGCTTCTAATGGGGCAAAGACTGGAGAAGTCAGCGAATGAAAGACCTGGAAAAAAGACTGTGATCACGGGGAAGCCAGTATGGGAGCAAAGGACCACTGTGCTATCCTATTTAACCCAAAGGGGAGACAGAACAGCAAAGAGGGAGAAGCCAGTTTCATCCTGGTTTGTACATCATTAGTTGAGCCAAAGTCAAACAAAGAAACAAACAAAATAATCAACTGAGTTCCAATGGCCAAATGTCACAGGCTGTGACATAAAAGTAACAGAAGTCCAGACCAAATAAAGCTTGCAGTGCAACTGTTCAGGGTTTAAAAAAAAAGTCAACTATACTTTACTTGTGAGCCTTTGATCTGATTTCACATTTGGCCTGACCTTTAGATCTTATTTATAGCATCCTTAGCAATTAGTAAGTTCTAAGACACAGCTAGAAGCTATGAGGTCAGCTCTAAGGGTCTGGAAAAGCAGCCAAACTTGAACCCTTAAACTAGCTTGATCTTGACACCTCATGCAAATTAGCTGTCTTACTGCACTGCCAGAAGCTGTTTCTATCAGCAATGCTCTAGATACTCCAGTGGATTTTTATCTGGAATTTTGCTTTGGGCTGGGAGCTGGAGGGAACAGAGTTTCTTAAAACCTTCGGTTTCCCCAAATCTCTGAGCATCAGCTCTGTGTTCTAGGAACACCGTGAGAAAAGACTCCTCGCAACTTTTTCTGGACAACCCACAGGTATTATCACAGGAAGCAAACGTGATTGTTTGCTGCCAGCTCACCCTTCTCCAAACAGCTGTTACCATCTCAGCGCATGTGGGAAGGCACGCAGCACCCACAGAGTGCACGCCTGTCTCTGCAGGAAACAGTGTTTTGACACTCCTCCTCTATGATTTGGTCACAAACCTGTCTTCAAGTTCATGAGGACTCAGTCTGGGAAATATTCAAGTAAGTGTACAACCAAGAGTAGGAAGTAATGTGTGATTTACATCTGAAATGAGATCCCTGAAAGGTATTTCTTCAGGAAATTCAGGTGTCATGAGTGCATATAATTTTAGCACCGTAGAGTCATAATCACTACTTAAATACTATTGAAGGCTATATCGTGTAACTTTGGGATTAAAATAAGTGCTTAGCTCTCCAGATGAGCAACAACCCTCCAAACAAGTGACAGCTGAAGCAAACACCTGGAACAATCCCCCAGACCTTCCTTCGCTTTGAAGCAAGACACAGAGGGCAAGACCACTGGGGAAGTAACCGCTAGTAGAGGTGCCAAAGACAGATGACCTGAAAAAATGCTGTGTGTAGGGAAGGCACGCATTCCTACATTATAAGAAAGCAAACCCTAAGATCTGAAACAAAGATGCAAAACTTCAGAACAGGGAGCTCACGAGCCAGTTATAGTGCCGCTTTCTGACATATTAAAAAAAATGTAAAGCAGCAGACACCTCGTACATGAGATGTCAAGACGATGTTGCAAGATCTCTGAAAGCATATAACGAGACAAACCTCAGAGATTATAGCAGATCACAGCTTAGTAGCAAAAATAAGCCCCAAAGGGCTGCGTGCTACTGAACATGTACATGGAGTTGGGGCCAGCAGCCAGCGGTTGCCAGAGAGAGATGGAGTTTAGTAAAAGCATGTAACAGCTCCGTTGTTCACAGCATGGTGGGGTGACAACCCCTAGAGGGTGAGATCATTACAGAAAAGTAAGAACTACAATGGAATATTACAAAACTTATCTGAATTGTATTAGATTTTGTAGATATTGCCAAAATCTGCTCAATACCTTGTAGAATGGAAAGGACTCCTGACTGACATGGCGTGATGCCAAAACAATGTGCTTATTTATAAATAACAAAGAAAAACACGCAGCTAGCATTGTCCCAGAGCCACCCATCAGATGTAGATAAAGAAACATTAAGAGGTGTAAATAATTTTATCTGCTGTATAATACAAGGGAAGACCACATCAGGTGCTAAGCAGCAAGACAATTTTAAAAAACACAATAACCAGCATGACCAGTGCCAGTACAAAAATGAAATCTCAACACTGTCATCATGCATTAAGGTCACAAAAATCTGCCACATTGACAGGAAAATTAATAAGTCCTCAGAATCCATTGGAAAAGTTTCTCCAAAAACTTCTAAACCAATTTATCAAGAGGCATAGGGTAGACAGTCCCAGGACGTGTTACCAGTCTGATTCCCTTATTCCCTTATCAAGTGTTAGCATCTCCTGGAAAAGCAGTAAGTGACCTAAAGGAACACTTTACAGAACAATGGAGGAAAAAAAAGCCCAATTCAGAAATATGACATTAAAAGTCCTCCACAGGCTAAAATTGTGGCATTTAGTCAGGCTCCAAATCCAGATGATGTGGCAGAAATCAGAGGAAAGTTTACGCGTTAGAAATTCTGGGAAGATGAAAAGAGCAAAACAGAAAACCACGTGCTATGGGCTGTGACAACGGTGCCGTACAGTAAATTTGTAAAAGCCAACAAAAGGTTAGAGATGACCGTCTGATGAAGCACAGTATGTGTTGTTACACCAATAAAGATAAAAATCATAGTTTGTTCTCAGTTCAGACAAAAACTGATCTCCACATGGGGCACAGAAGAAGTATTATTCACTGATCCAACCTGAGTTATTAAGTAAAGAGGTTTTTAAATCTTGTTCTAAAGAACATGTATCGGCCCCTCCAGGACACGTACAGAACACATGGTTTGGTTTTGTACCCACACAACCAGAGTACAGTAATTCTCAGGGGCTTCGCTGTTCCCCCCAAAACAACATGTTCTAAACCAGTAAGAGATCAGAAAATGCATTACCTAACTGTGGGTCTCTGCACGGACGCTGAATGCGAATGGTGTGCTTTCTGTGCAGGAATCAATTAGGAACTCACAGATACCTGGAAATGTGTCTGGGTTGCTCATCTAGACCATTATTTTAAGTCAAATCTCAGAAGTCAAACCGTCAAGGCGGTGTTACATGCACTGGGATACAGGCTACAGTGGAAGAGCAGGTGGTGAGGGGAAAAAACTTGGAAGAGGTGCTTGAATGAGACTAAGATGCCTGTGTTCAGTGGGGCTGCACAGCCCCTTTCCGAATTTTTTATTGTTGTACCTTTCAGCATTTTGTTGGTTTTTGACCTATCAAGTATTGCTCCATGATGGCTCCCAGGAAGAAAAAAAAATACTTCAACAGTCATATATGCTTCACTGTTAAGTGGTTGGGTCTCATTCTACTTTACTACAGCTTTCAGACTGACTTTGACTTAATTGGCACTGCTGCTGATTTCTGTCTGGGTTGTAAATTATCTGATATTCAAGGCCTATTTTATTCAGTGAATCAATATGACCGCACTGATTACCTTGAGGAAGGAACAGAGCTGAAGTCCTTCCAAGGAAATTAAGGATTGAGGGATTTCCTAAACAGTGGATGAACTGAATACAGTGCTTGCCATCTCAGAGACAAGTGTATGCACATACTCTAAATCCCTAGAATTTATTCCCAAAACGTGTCACATGCTTTCCCTTCCAATTCCCCAAACTAATCTGTCACCAGAAAAAAGCCTGATCATCTGGTCCCAGTTAAACCCTAAAATCCTCTCAGAAGTTTCCAGGAATTGAGAAAAACTTCAAGTTATACAAGCCAGTACTGGCTCAGTCTATGAGGAAAGAAAAATAAGATTCACTAAAGAGCTGGAAGAGTTCATGCAATTCTCCAACTTCATCTAAAGCAGAAACACAGATGCTTTAGGACAAGGAATTGCAGCTCTTCAGAACCTGCTGCTCTTCACACACCTTCTCCGAGGCGGAGAAGCAAGTACTTGCTTTTGCACAGCCAGATGTGAGGTCAGAACAGCCTGTATTGAGCCTCTTCCTACAATCCTGCACAGCCATGAAGTTCTAAGACATACTTCAGCCCTGTTTTGTTCAATACAGAGACAATTTATCCAGAACATCGGGGCTCTCTCCCACTCCCTTTGGGAAGCAGAAGAAAGCTCCCACTACTCACACCGTTTCTGGGATGGTTTCTGGGATGTTCAGCCAGCATTCTGTACACTCATTTTCATTCCCCTGAATTCAGCTATGCCCTGTAAACAGCACCTGGCCTTCCTCACAGCCTCGCAGTTGTAATCATTTAACTGTGTTCTGCTGAATTCCTTCTGGTTTTGTTTCTCATAAATCAATCTCCATGGTATTGCTTTTTATAGCTCCTTACTAGGAGCTACGGTTACTTCTGCAGCGAAGCAATTTTTTTGCACTTTATTTTTCATCCCCACATTAATCTTTTCAACAGGAAGAACACCATAAATGTGAGTGACTCAGTGTGTGCTTCCTCCAAGCACACACGTCCTCTGCAGCTCCTAACACTGCAGCGCCAAGCCCATTCCATCTGCTGAGAGGGCTGGAGTAGTTGAGAGACAGCCATCTGTGTTAATCAGAATCACTTACAAGGTTACTCCCACCTGGGAAGGAAGAAAGGAAATAACAGGCAAGCACAATAAAATAATACACATTAAACTGTCCGTTGGAAAAGTGCAGTGCTTCTGTCACTTAGGATAGAGACCAAGCTCATAATGATGTTCTGCCAACTTAAAGCCAGCTTGAAGTTTATTTTTGCTAATGACCTAGTCACAAACTACATGAAAGGAAAAGATCCAGCTGTGCGTGCGTTCTGGTTCTAGCTCTTCCACTGACTAGCTGGCTGGCTTTAGGGAAGCAATTTTAACAACCCAAAGACAAAAAGAAAACCACATTTTAGCAGGACAGCAGTAATGAATCATTAGCACCAGTGCCAAAGACAATAGTCTCACTTGTCACTTAACACAGAGAAGATTGTTGCGCTCAGTCCCAGCACTACAACACACAAGTCCTTGACTGCAGCTTTTAGATGCTACTGGAAATTGGATAAGCAGACTACATGCGTCCCTCCTCAAAGGTTAAACCAGACTGCTCATACCTGCTTCTAGAATTGGTGGCACACAGGCGAGCACTGTAGCTACCACACACCCTATGTTCCAGGTCATGCTGTGGGCCTGCAGCAGGAGATGACGTTCTCCATGACCATGTACAGAGGAGGGTCTGTTGGATGGGGCTGCTGACCTGCCAGGTGGACGAGGACTTGCAGACCCATGGGGCTCTGAAGGGACTTTCAAGCATCGCTGTAAAATACAAAACAATAAGATCACACTATGCCAGTCCACATTATCATAGGGAAACTTTGGTCTGGAAACAGATGACAATGTGAAGCATGAGCCTGACCAGGACTCATCTTCTTGAGATTTAGCCAGGATGCCCCCTCTCTACTGGCAGGAAGAGGTGACCTTTTCTCCCAGGAAAGCTGAGACAAACCCAACCAGTCTTCACATGAACTCCTGAAGACAGCATATGAGCCCAGCAGCATTGCCAGTGAAGCCAAGGGAGCTGAGTCAATCAGTGTATCTGGCAGAGGAAAGTAACTGTAGCAGAAAGCAGGGCCCCATGCTTAAAAGAGCATGAGATAGGGAACCAGGTACTGGGGGTTCAATTAATGGCTTTTTGATGATCCAGTTTCCCTTCTGGGATTCAGTTTCATCACCTGAAAAATAGGAAACTAATAGCAACCTCCCTGGTAAAGCACTGAAATGTTCCACATCCCAAATAAGCTTTTGGAAGGTATAATATACCAAGGAAGAAGGTGAAAAGGGAAGTGTTACACAAGGGATGGTTATTAGGAAAAACAAAGTGACAGCAGAAAAAAGACTGAGAGGAAAAAAAAAAAAACCTTGCTGACCGCTGAAATCATAACAAGTCCACTGTCTGAGAGTGTCAAAACCAAAGTCAGACAACACGTTAGAGTGCCATTTGTCAAAATCAGGAAAGCAGACTAGATGATACTTCATACTTCTCAACTCAATATTTATAATGCACTGAGATCATGACAGATTTCACCTCGAAAGAATATATATTATATGAAAAAGGTTACATGAAAAACAGAGCACAAGGATATCAGTAAATTCTTCTTTCGGGAGTCTAAAAGCACTACCAAATGACAGCGCTGAAAAGAGAAGTGAATGAAACTAAATCAAAAACCTGGTGAGGAAGTAAAATTGGTATAGTTATTTTTGATAGAAGACAAAGACAGTAATCTCAAAGATACTCAGAGAAACAATGCTTCCCACTAAACTGCTGCTGCACCTTCGTGTAGTAACTTCACAGACTTGGAGACACATCATCTCAGGCTGAACGAAGTAGGTGACCCAAAGGGCCCAGGGCCACATCAGGTAGCAGGGTCTTAAACCATCAGCAGCATGCGATGCAAGCATGAACACTTCCCTCCCCCTCTTGGTGTCCTTCTTTCCTTCTGTTTTACCTAGTGTCCCCCAGGCCATCCTTACAGGGAGTTTATAACTTCCCCTTTCCTGCTTCAGTACTTCACCTTCCTTTTTCTGTCCCCAGGAGTCCTAAATAACTCCTCTTTCTCAATATATCTACAAAATTGTTTGTCATCTGCCTTCTCACCTGGCATTTATTCTAGTCTGACATAATGACCACTTCAATCATCCCTATAAATCAAACTTCCCAGGCCTCTCATCTCTCTTTTTCCTTCGCTGTGAATTCCTTCCAGCTTGTCAGCACACCCTGGCACACCCAGCAAGGCGCAGAGCTCATCAGCATTACCGCAGCAGCCTCACGCAGCAAACAGCTCCGCAATAACTTCTCTTCAGCTTACAGCATTGGCAACATCCACCCTTTAAAAATACGACCAGAATGAAATATAACAAGGTTTCTCTCGTGTCACAGCAGTCAGGTGCATTCCAGTCAATGCTGTTGGTGGAAAAATTGAGGAGCCCAAAAAGTATTGAACAGCAGCTCATGCCAGAGCTGCACCTAAGTGCTGAAAAGCCTGGAGCACATCCAGCATCTCACTGCTGTGACCTCGAGCACCTGGGTGGCAGCTAAGTGTTGCTGTGCTACCTGCACATCACTTTTCTTCCCCTGCTCTACTCTTGCAACAGCAAAAAGAGCTGTGCAGCTTTGAACAGCCACCACTTCTCTGCAATGGCATGTTTCTCCTCAAGCTGAGCAGGAGCCCGCAGGTGTCCTTCCCTGCTTTTCCTTGAGCCGTGATTATCTGAGATCATGGCAAGCACCTGGGCAGCATTTAATTGTGTATGCCAATCTGGTGTATGCTACTTCTATTCTAAGGAATAGAAGTGTTTGAAAATGGTGATCAGTCAACTGGTAAGGTATTTGTATTAACGGGGTACCCCACGTGCTTTCTGCTGGGTTTATTTAAGTCACAAATAATTGAAGAATGTAACATTCCTCAAACTTTATTTCTCAGGTTAAAAAAGGGAGGGAGAATAAGTACTAGTTATGATTGCAGGTAGAGAAGAGACATTCTTTAGGTTAGTTATGTGATTTACACGTAAGCCTCCTACTTACACAGCCCTCACCTTTTGCAATATCATTTAAAGAATACCACCTATTTTAGTATAACAAAGAGCTAGAACTACTCCTCTTTTCCAGGAATTCAAAGGGAAAACTGATTTTTGCTGCTCTCAGGCTGAAGGGCTGGGTCCCTACTACCACAGAAAGGGGAGAAGCAGAGAGAGGAGGAAGGGAGGACCCAGCCAGATAGCACACACCCTTGGAGAACAGTTTTACTACTTCCATTGTTTTTAAGGGTTTTAGTAACTGGAGTTACATCGGGCTGGTAGCCAGTCACTAATGGTGTTCCTCGGGGCTCTATTTTGGGGCCAGAGCTCTCCAATGTTTTCCATAACAGCGTGTGATTTTGGGTGCCACAACATTAGAAGGACATAACATTGTTAGAGACTGTCCAAAGGAGGGCTACAAAGATGGTGAAGGGGCTGGTGGGAAGATGTCTGCTGTTCCAGTCTCCTCTTCATGCAGCAGCCACCATGAATGCAGCTCTTCAGGGCTTTGACTGAGGCAATAGTGCTGTGACCACTAAACTGTCCCCAGCAATCTACTTCCCAAGAAGCTGTGCCTGCGACAAAAAACAGCCTTGAGTGAATAGACAATGACGGATTCAAAATGAAGAATCAATATTACAGCCTGCTTGGCTTGCAAAGACACAAGGAACAGTACATGTCTATGCTGCAGTAAGGAAGCTGGCACAAGTGTAGCTGTGCTTCAGCACTGCTCGAAGTATGTATGAAATCAGAGGACGAGGTAATGGCAGGGTACCACTGGAGACACTGCTTACTCTGCTCCCCAACAGGCTGTGGCAACAAGCACATTGCTCAGGACACGCTGGCATAGCTTAGTGCAGGACAGGCAGTTCCCCATCCATTCCAGGTGCTCTGAACCAGCCAACTACAAGACAGCTTCTTTCCAAAAGCTGTGTAGTCACATTAGCACAGCACGGAGTCCTAATTTATAGCTGTTGCTGAGACTGGGCGTATTAGCTTGGGCTGAGCACTGTGCAACACTTAGCTGCGTGCCCAGAGCACAAGTGGAACAGGGCCTGCCTGTACAGGACAGCAGGCAGTAGTGTTGCTTTCTCCCCTGCTGGAGGGCAGGAATGATACTTCCTCCATGAGATACTCAGTGCTTTTTCGGTGTCTACTGCACAGCATCGGAAAACAGATTTGGACCCAAGAACCTGTTTTGTTTCTGCTTTTACAGTACTGTAACATTGATATGTCGTGCTGCGAGATAGAGAGTTGTGACAGGAATGAAGTCTGGAAAAGAAGTGGCTGAGGATGGACTATGACAGAGCTCTGCGGAATATCAGGTTCTGAGGAGGCTGTGTGGGGAAAATACAAAAATGCACAGTCTTCCAGTACAAGGATTAGCAGACATCAAGTGAAACTGGCAGGAGACAAGTTGGAAACAATCCTGAGGAGATGGCTCTTTACTCTTCACGCAGATTACTCAAACCACACCACACAGCGTGCTCTAAGTGGTACATGTGGGTTCGCAATGAGATTAGACAAATTCAAAGAGAAATCTGGATCACTGGAGTACCCGCACCATGGCCAGGCCTGAGCAAGTACTCGGCAGATAGCGTCTCTCAATACATAGCTCGAGCTGTTCTCCTCTACTGCCCCATGTCTGGTCGGAAACTGCTGCTATGTTTGATACACATTTGATGTTGTACTGTTATTCCTATGTTCTGCCAGATTCAAGCTGAAGATATTTTACATATGTTCAGCTGATATCTAGAAGAGCAGGCTGTACACAAGAAAGAGAAAGGGCTATGAAGCTCCAGAGTCAGATTCTGCCACACAATACTGTAAATTCACAGTGTAGGGCATTCTGTGGCATCACTACAGTAAAAGAAAGAAGAATCCTGCCCCTCTGGGGGCAACAAGGATGTTGGGAATTTATGACTGCCTTTTTCTATCCCCACTCCTCCCTCGTCCCCATTGCACAGTTTATCCACTGCAAACCTAACATTGCCTCCAGGCACTCTGCATAGTCCTTCAGAATGGCTCCCCTGACTGACACGTAACAAGGTCAGGTCTTAAAAAAAAAATCTAATATGAAAAGCAAGTGTTTGCTTTGTGACTTAATACTAAATTAGTTTTATAGATTTTCTGGCATCCAAAAGACTTCCACATCCTAACACTGACATCCTGATGTCAGTTCTGGTCTCAGCTGGTTCACCTGTCCAGTACAGCCGAGCAATCATTCATATTCCAGGCTCATTCCATTAGCATAGTGCTGTACCATTTCACAGCTTATTACATTGAGATTTTTTTCCAAAAAGACCTCTGCATTTAATTTCCAACAGAATATTGATTGCTCCAAGGCACTGAGAATTAAAGTATACATGCATGGTTATTTCATTGGCTTCTGAATAAGAGCTGAAACTTCCATTATAAATTGATCCTACACCAGCTTAAGCAAAACTAGATTGAAAATTTGGGACTAGCAGAATTCCTCAACGCTAGATCCTATATGAAATAATGAAATTTCCATTAATCATGACCTCCATGAAAGGGGAAAATAAACTGGTTTATGTAGAATGTTTTAATATTAAGGAACAGTTTTTGTAAAAGCATATAAACCTGTATTTTCCAAACAACACTGCCAAGTGACAGAAATTGAAATAGATTAAACTAATGCTGGAAGTTACTACACAGCAGAGAAGTATTCTCAGTTCCCTAAGCAACTTCTGTCAATGAAGTTGTACTTCATTCATCAT